GATCATCATGAAACGTTCAGATCACTTACAACTCAATAGATTCTACCTTCTTGTAACGTTTCAGCCTGATTGGACCTTGTTTTCACACAAATGGACCCAGAATGATGTGAAATTGTGCTTCGTGCAACGTAATTCTGGGTGCCATTTACAAACCATAAGTGCTAATGACTCCATTCCTTTTTGTGGTTGTAGGGGCTGTAGATTGGAGTACACTAAAACAAACCTGATCTCTCTAGGAAATTCAGAAGCCAAGTTATAAGCCCACAAATGTGTAACTGGACTACTTCTTTAAATTGACACCAGATCCGGTGACCTTTGGGACATGGTTTGACCCCTTAGGAAAGTGCTATCATCATGAAACGTTCAGATCACTTACAACTCAATAGATTCTACCTTCCTGTAACGTTTCAGCCTGATTGGACCTTGTTTTCACACAAATGGACCCAGAATGATGTGAAATTGTGCTTCGTGCAACATAATTCTGGGTGCCATTTACAAACCATAAGTGCTAATGACTCCATTCCTTTTTGTGGTTGTAGGGGCTGTTGATTGGAGTACACTAAAACAAACCTGATCTCTCTAGGATATTCAGAAGCCAAGTTATAAGCCCACAAATGTGTAACTGGACTACTTCTTTCAATTTACACCAGATCCGGTGACCTTTAGGACATGGTTTGACCCCCTTAGGAAAGTGCGATCATCATGAAACGTTCAGATCACTTACAACTCAATAGATTCAACCTTCTTGTAACGTTTCAGCCTGATTGGACCTTGTTTTCACACAAATGGACCCAGAATGATGTGAAATTGTGCTTTGTGCAACATAATTCTGGGTGCCATTTACAAACCATAAGTGCTAATGACTCCATTCCTTTTTGTGGTTGTAGGGGCTGTTGATTGGAGTACATTAAAACAAATCTGATCTCTCTAGGACATTCAGAAGCCAAGTTATAAGCCCACACAGGTGTAAGTGGACTACTTCTTTAAAGTGACACCAGGCACGGTGACCTTTGAGACATGGTTTGACCCCCTATAGGAATGTGCGATCATCATGAAACGTTCAGATCACTTACAACTCAATAGATTCTACCTTCTTGTAACGTTTCAGCCTGATTGGACCTTGTTTTCACACAAATGAACCCATAATGATGTGAAATTGTGCTTCGTGCAACATAATTCTTTGTGACATTTACAAACCATAAGTGCTAATGACTCCATTCCTTTTTGTGGTTGTAGGGGCTGTTGATTGGAGTACACTAAAACAAACCTGACCTCTCTAGGACATTCAGAAGCCAAGTTATAAGCCCACAAAGGTGTGACTGGACTACTTCTTTAAAGTGACACCAGGCCCGGTGACCTTTGGGACATGGTTTTACCCCCTATAGGAATGTGCGATCATCTTGAAACGTTCCGATCACTTTTAACTCAATAGATTCTACCTTCTTGTAACGTTTCAGCCTGATTGGACCTTGTTTTCACACAAATGGACCCAGAATGATGTGAAATTGTGGTTCGTGCAACATAATTCTGGGTGCCATTTAAAAACCATAAGTGCTAATGACTCCAGTCCTTTTGGGGGTAATGGGGGCTGTTAATTGGAGTACTCTAAAACAAACCTGACCTCTCTAGGATATTCAGAAGCCAAGTTATAAGCCCACAAAGGTGTAACTGGACTACTTCTTTAAAGTGACACCAGATCCGGTGACCTTTGGGACATGGTTTGACCCCCTTAGGAAAGTGCTATCATCATGAAACATTCACATCACTTACAACTCAATAGATTCTACCTTCCTGTAACGTTTCAGCCTGATTGGACCTTGTTTTCACACAAATGAACCCAGAATGATGTGAAATTGTGCTTCGTGCAACATAATTCTGGGTGCCATTTAAAAACCATAAGTGCTAATGACTCCATTCCTTTTTGGGGTAATGGGGGCTGTTAATTGGAGTACTCTGAAACAAACCTGACCTCTCTAGGATATTGAGAAGCCAAGTTATAAGCCCACAAAGGTGTAACTGGACTACTTCTTTAAAGTGACACCAGGCCCGGTGACCTTTGGGACCTGGTTTGACCCCCTATAGGAATGTGCGATCATCATGAAACGTTCAGATCACTTACAACTCAATAGATTCTACCTTCTTGTAACGTTTCAGCCTGATTGGACCTTGTTTTCACACAAATGGACCCAGAATGATGTGAAATTGTGCTTCGTGCAACATAATTCTGGGTGCCATTTACAAACGATAAGTGCTAATGACTCCATTCCTTTTTGTGGTTGTAGGGGCTGTTGATTGGAGTACACTAAAACAAACCTGATCTCTCTAGGAAATTCAGAAGCCAAGTTATAAGCCCACAAATGTGTAACTGGACTACTTCTTTAAATTGACACCAGATCCGGTGACCTTTGGGACATGGTTTGACCCCTTAGGAAAGTGCTATCATCATGAAACGTTCAGATCACTTACAACTCAATAGATTCTACCTTCCTGTAATGTTTCAGACTGATTGGACCTTGTTTTCACACAAATGGACCCAGAATGATGTGAAATTGTGCTTCGTGCAACATAATTCTGGGTGCCATTTACAAACCATAAGTGCTAATGACTCCATTCCTTGTTGTGGTTGTAGGGGCTGTTGATTGGAGTACACTAAAACAAACCTGATCTCTCTAGGATATTCAGAAGCCAAGTTATAAGCCCACAAATGTGTAACTGGACTACTTCTTTAAATTGACACCAGATCCGGTGACCTTTAGGACATGGTTTGACCCCCTTAGGAAAGTGCGATCATCATGAAACGTTCAGATCACTTACAACTCAATAGATTCTACCTTCTTGTAACGTTTCAGCCTGATTGGACCTTGTTTTCACACAAATGGACCCAGAATGATGTGAAATTGTGCTTCGTGCAACATAATTCTGGGTGCCATTTACAAACCATAAGTGCTAATGACTCCATTCCTTTTTGTGGTTGTAGGGGCTGTTGATTGGAGTACATTAAAACAAACCTGATCTCTCTAGGACATTCAGAAGCCAAGTTATAAGCCCACACAGGTGTAACTGGGCTACTTCTTTAAATTGACACCAGGCACGGTGACCTTTGAGACATGGTTTGACCCCCTATAGGAATGTGCGATCATCATGAAACGTTCAGATCACTTACAACTCAATAGATTCTACCTTCTTGTAACGTTTCAGCCTGATTGGACATTGTTTTCACACAAATGGACCCATAATGATGTGAAATTGTGCTTCGTGCAACATAATTCTGGGTGCCATTTAAAAACCATAAGTGCTAATGACTCCATTCCTTTTTGTGGTTGTAGGGGCTGTCGATTGGAGTACACTAAAACAAACCTGACCTCTCTAGGACATTCAGAAGCCAAGTTATAAGCCCACAAAGGTGTAACTGGACTACTTCTTTAAAGTGACACAAGGCCCGGTGACCTTTGGGACATGGTTTTACCCCCTATAGGAATGTGTGATCATCTTGAAACGTTCCGATCACTTACAACTCAATAGATTCTACCTTCTTGTAACGTTTCAGCCTGATTGGACCTTGTTTTCACACAAATGGACCCAGAATGATGTGAAATTGTATTTCGTGCAACATAATTCTGGGTGCCATTTAAAAACCATAAGTGCTAATGACTCCAGTCCTTTTGGGGGTAATGGGGGCTGTTAATTGGAGTACTCTAAAACAAACCTGACCTCTCTAGGATATTCAGAAGCCAAGTTATAAGCCCACAAAGGTGTAACTGGACTACTTCTTTAAAGTGACACCAGGCCCGGTGACCTTTGGGACATGGTTTGACCCCCTATAGGAATGCGCGATCATCATGAAACGTTCAGATCACTTACAACTCAGTAGATGCTACCTTCCTGTAACGTTTCAGCCTGATTGGACCTTGTTTTCACACAAATGGACCCAGAATGATGTGAAATTGTGCTTCGCTCAACATAATTCTGGGTGCCATTTACAAACCATATGTGCTAATGACTCCATTCCTTTTTGTGGTTGTAGGGACTGTTGATTGGAGTACACTAAAACAAACCTGACCTCTCTAGGACATTCAGAAGCCAAGTTATAAGCCCACAAAGGTGTAACTGGGCTACTTCTTTAAAGTGACACCAGGCCCGGTAACCTTTGGGACCTGGTTTGACCCCCTATAGGAATGTGCGATCATCATGAAACGTTCAGATCACTTACAACTCAGTAGATTCTACCTTCTTGTAACGTTTCAGCCTGATTGGACCTTGTTTTCACACTAATGGACCCAGAATGATGTGAAATTGTGCTTCGTGCAACATAATTCTGGGTGCCATTTACAAACCATAAGTGCTAATGACTCCATTCCTTTTTGTGGTTGTAGGGACTGTTGATTGGAGTACACTAAAACAAACCTGACCTCTCTGGGACATTCAGAAGCCAAGTTATAAGCCCACAAAGGTGTAACTGGACTACTTCTTTAAAGTGACACCAGGCCCGGTGACCTTTGGGACCTGGTTTGACCCCCTATAGGAATGTGCGATCATCATGAAACGTTCAGATACCTTACAACTCAATAGATTCTACCTTCTTGTAATGTTTCAGCCTGATTGGACCTTGTTTTCACACAAATGGACCCAGAATGATGTGAAATTGTGCTTCGTGCAACATAATTCTGGGTGCCATTTACAAACCATAAGTGCTAATGACTCCATTCCTTTTTGTGGTTGTAGGGGCTGTTGATTGGAGTACACTAAAACAAACCTGATCTCTCTAGGAAATTCAGAAGCCAAGTTATAAGCCCACAAATGTGTAACTGGACTACTTCTTTAAATTGACACCAGATCCGGTGACCTTTGGGACATGGTTTGACCCCTTAGGAAAGTGTTATCATCATGAAACGTTCAGATCACTTACAACTCAACAGATTCTACCTTCCTGTAACGTTTCAGCCTGATTGGACCTTGTTTTCACACAAATGGACCCAGAATGATGTGAAATTGTGCTTCGTGCAACATAATTCTGGGTGCCATTTACAAACTGTTGAATAAAGATTTTCGATTCCTCCAGACCTGTCTTATTATATAATAGCAGTTCTGGATTACATCTCAAATCTGTATGTTAGTGAAACCAGGCTTCAGGGTTCAGCTAGAGGTCTGTGTGTGGTGATTTGACTCCTGATCTCATGCTGCCATAAATGATGTGTGTGTTTCAACTAATCTGCTATCCATGACAAATTTATGTTGTAGTTTAACCTTGTATCGACTTTTTATGGTGTAGCCTAGGATGTGATAAGAACTTCAGGGACACGTATAGAGATGTTTATGTTTGACTTCCTTTGATCTGAGCTGAAGAAGGAAGAAGGAGGAGGGAAGACCCCCGCCCATCTGACTGATACCGGAGGGGGCTGGGAGAGGACCCAAGGCCGGAGAATGTTTCCGAGGCAGGGGTTGCCATGGAGACGGAAGGGGGGCTAGGAGGAGAGAGTTGAGGAGAATAAAAGGGTGAGGGCTCCGTGGAGAGGGGGTCGGTCTGGGGCTTTTTGGGTGTTGGAGAAGAGTTCGGAGGACAACTGTAACGGTTGAGTGATCTGACCCGCTGCGTCGGGAAATCTGGAATATTTTTACTTCATCATATAAAATAAAATATTTGCTCCTTCATATAAGGGGCTTTAAACGGAATCTCCAGCCTGGGGTCTCCAATCGTGTCGTGTAACAGCTGAAAGGTGAGGCGCTGGTTACTTATCCCACTCCAAGAGGTTTACATTTAAACTTAAAGTCTTTAACCTGGGCATAGCATAAGCTGCAGGTGACTGAGTTGTGGTGAAGTTATAACAAGAGTCTTCCTTTGTGCTGCTAAAGTATGTTTGCCAGAGTCTAAATCTAGGTAAAGATGATCGCTGATTAGCTCACAGAGGTGTAAGCTCAGACTGGAGTCACGCTCACGCACAAATAGAATTACAAGTCAACCCTGAGACGTAGTGTTTATTAAAGAGTCAGCTAGTTTGGGAGGATGACTTGTAACATGGCGCCCTTTAACGTGGGGCTGTGATTTCGCAGTTGAGTAGAAAACAACCTGTTGTGAGCTTAGAAAGTCCGGAACTGGGAAAAGTGTCTGCAAGGGTGGACAATTTGTCCCTAAGGAGCCGGCTATATTGGCCGAAGGGGGCCGCTTAGGGAGCCTATGAGTTTAGATTCTGAAGTCCAGTAGCTGGAAGTGTGTTGGAACGCACTGGTCCGGTTGGATCGGTTCCGTAGAAGTGCGTTTCTCTCCACCAGGTGCACACGGCGCAAAGGGGTTTTTGTGAGAACCTCTTAGCAGAATTCTCACACGCAGGAAAGTGAGGGGCCTCGTAAAAGATTCTCACAAAGTAGAATTAAATCGCAGGTTGCAATTCCTGACCTCGTGGACGTAATCCGGGGCAGAACAGCTAAGTTGCTGCTGGTGTGTGTGCACGCACACCCTGCCTTTAAAGGACAACGATTTTGATGCGAAGTGATCTTTATGAGTAAAGGTACTCGTGTAACTGAGGGAAATTTAGGGATGGCTGCAGTGAGCGAATATGGCTCAGGGGAGGAAGAACGCGGGGAGAGAATGGCTGATACTGAGAGCTTGTGGGCTCGTGATGACCCAGCTAGAGTGCGAGCAATATTTTCTGACTATTCCAAGGTGTGTTTCGAGCCTCCAGCATCATTGGTGAATGCAATTAATGTGAACGGTACATCAGAAACTGGTGTTGCGCTGGCGATAAAGCGCAGGTATCCACAAAGTCATGATGCTATCATGGCTCAGAATCCTCCATTTACTATAGGCAATGTAATGACGTACAGACGGTCTGCGATCGAAGCTGGGGATGGGGTACGTGAAATATTACATATAGTAATTGATCCATGTGCACCGGGAACTCCTCATGATGTGCAAGTTGAGCAATTAACTAGATGGTATGACTGTGTGAGAGGAGCAAGTAACACGGGGCATGTGGCTACCTGTTTGCTGGGGACAGGAGAATTTGAACATACCATTAGAGCCTCACTGGAAGCATTAAAAGCTGTAATAAATGTGGACACTGACAATATTTGGACCGTGGTTCTGACCACGGAGAGTTTGTTTAGAGCAGCATGCCAAGAGCTGAACTTAAAGGAGTGGCGTCCATACAGAGCTGCTTCACACGCTCCGTTACAGCTGTATCCCGACCCACAACCCCCACCTGTCTATGGTGAAGTGGTAACACCAGCCAGATTTGAACCTGTGAATAAAGATTATAGAGATGGCATCTCTTCATCTGAAGAAAGTGGTAATGAGTCGGGAAACAGTTCTGAGAATGGATCAGATGACCCAGCCAGCGCTTGGGTGACGGATATATCAGCGCTAGAAGCGCAGTTAAAGCAAGGGACATATTCTTCTGGTCTCTCCTCCGGGTTGATCATGCTGGAGGGAGACTTGGGGACTAGAACCCTCCCGGCACCTGAATGGGTCTTGTCTGTTCTTGTAAAACCAGGTACAAATCTCTGTCGGGTCCCTGCGCTGGCACCCATAAGGCGCCTGGCAGGGAGAAAAGCTGTTAAGAGCTGGGGACTCTATGAGCCTGCAGGTGGGACTCCGGTGTGGTTAGACCCAGGAGAGTCAGCCATGAGAGCTATTGTGGTCATTTCTAACGCTGTGGGCTCAACTCCCAGAAGTGAGTTGAAGCGCTGGCGGATACAAACGGAACGAGCTGTGCAGGCTGCAGACTTACGACCTTCTAGGGTGATTTTTTACCTGAGAAGTACAAAAGATGTGATGTTGCAAACTCATAACAGAAATGATATGGTGTATGCAGCTATAACCAGTCAGTGGGCTGGCAGAGTGTATGAGCCTGCTATCTGGCTACACAAAATGGAAACTGCAGCAAGGGCTCTTGCTGATAGGAAACAAGCAGATCTGGACAACCTCCCACGGAAGGAAGTGACATGGGCTGCTTCTCACACACCTGTGGGTGCGAGGTTTGGGCCTCCTAATAGAAGTCCACATGACCATGCCAGGGCAGAACCTTCAGCACCAAGGCCATTAACCCCATCCGCGCCTGTTTGGGCCCCGATAGCGCATTCCACAGGAATGACACCTACTGGTATGAGTGGGCTTCAATACCATCGCCCCTCACCCATCTATTCTGGGGACAGCTCTCACCCATTATGTCACTCAAGTAGTGATGAGGAAGAGAGGAGGAAGACGTGGATTGGGCCTGAGGGGGGTGTTGAAGGCAGAGCATTGAAGAATAAGAGGAAAACTGTGCCAAAAACACATGCTGCAAGATACAATCAAAATGACCCCCCTTTCTCTGGGCCGTGGTACCGTGGCTTCAGACCTCTCACTGAGGGGGATGGTGAGCCAGAGGTGTTAAATAATCTGCCTGGTTGGTACTCTGCAAGGGGGGAGGCAAATGTGATTAGACATGCCAAAACCAGTATGGATGTTAAACAACAACCAAACTGGACTGAGCCTTTTAAGAATCAGTTCCTTAGCAGTGGCTATGATTTTTATCGAAGTGGCTGCATTCAAAGGGACTGTGACGTGGAAGCAGAACACAGAGCGGGCAATAACCCCCACCCTTCCACTTCTCAGGAATGTGAAGGAGGGGTGCAAGTTAGACCCACCGTTGCAGATCAAACTCTGGTAGGAAGAGCCGGATGTCTCTCGGCCCTGGCCAGCCTTATGCCTGATAGGAAGATGGGAGAGCCACAGACCCGTTACCTTACACGTTTGAGGCAGGCTGGCTTGACAAATGAGGATTTAGCAGATCCGAGCATGATTGATCTCCTGCGGCTGAAGCAGGGTGTGAGATTGCCAAGGGCAGAGATAATGGCTGAGTTAACCTTATCCCGGGTACCAGGACGTGACTTAGTGGACGAATCTATAGATCGTTTGGTGGAGGAAGTGAAGAGAAAATTGATACCTCTGAGGACGGCTATGTTGTCTGTGCAAGAGGAAGGAGCAACGGTCATACAACAGGAACGAATGTTAGCATCACTTCCTGACGCGGAGTCTCTCGCTGTTAAATGGAAAAGTTTGACAAAAAGTGAGCAGATTAGAAAAATGGATAATTGGGAACTCAAAAGACAGATGAGAGATCAGTCAAAAAACGCGAAACCCCCCCTGGAGACGAGATCAGACGGCCAGGGGGGAGCAGAATCGGCTCGCTCACAGAGGCGAGGGAGGGAGATGGAGAGTCAGGGAGGAGACCCATACAGAAGGGGTCTCAGGGAGAACGGACCGGGGGACCGACAACGCCCAGGTCCGCGGGGGTTACCGGCAGATTGGATTCCGGCAGACGAGTATGCAAAATTAACGCCGGAACAACGATCTGCTCATCGCCGTATGAGGGAGGAAAGGTCGAGGAGGCTCCCAGTGGAGTCTCAATCATCCCAAGTGAATACCCAAACTACAGATTCACCCTCGCCGAGGCAATAGATGCCATCACGAAGGTGGCACACGTAGAGTATCCTTGGCTGGTTTGTGTGTACAGAGGATTGAAATTCGTCATTGATACTGGAGCTAACATGTCTGGTTTGGAAGAAACGCATGATGCAATAGAGGTTAATGAGTTACGATCAGCACGTCTAGCAGATGGGTCAGATATCGATTTCCAACCCGTGTTCAATGACAAACTGCCCGCTCTATGCATGCCTGCGCCGAAAGATGCTAGTTGGTTGTGCATTTCAGACTTGGTGGAGCTTGTGCAAAATAATCTGTCTGATTTTACTCATCCAGCAAGCCTTGCGCCAGAACATGATTTTCGGGTGGTGGTGAGAGGAGCTGTGGTAGATGTGGATAAAGAAATGGACAGGATTGTACAGGGAGCTTTGATTGATGATAAACAAAAAGCCCTTCTCAGACACGGCCTAAAAACTATTAACTTTGCAAAAAATAAAAATGACTGTGGATTGTACAAAGGTGAGCCATATGTAATCAGAGCTACCCCTCCCCCGCGTGTACCTCAGTATCCAATAAGGAGGGGGATGGAGGATTTGAACGAGTTACTCGTTGACCTAACACGTCAGGGTGTTCTGGAAGAGGTGAAAGAGAGCCTCACAGTGACACCTATCCAAATGGTGCCTAAACCGAACGGCAAATATCGGTTGGTACATGATTTGAGAGCGTTGAATGAACGAACTGTTCCAGACCTGAGATATAAAGTGAACCCTCAGAGGGCCAGGACGCAGGTGCGCCCTGGGAGATACAAAAGCAGTCTGGATTTGGCAAACGGATTCTGGTCGGTACCAATTTCTGTGGAATCCCAGAAGCTAACAGGTTTCCAGGTGGGAAATAAGACCTTTGTCTGGAAGAGACTGCCTCAGGGGTTCATCAATTCGGGAAATGTGTTTCAGTCGATCATAGAAGATGTGTTACAAGGAGAAGACGTCGTGATCTATATAGATGACATCTTGCTGACAAACGACGACCCTGAGCTTTTGCTCAGAGACTCTTTGCGTGTGATGAGGAAACTGAGTGAAGCAGGGTTTCTGATTGCCCTGGACAAGACTCAGCTGGTGACTCAGGACATAAAGTTTCTGGGCTATCAGTACACTCCTGAAGGGAAAGAGGTGGATGTGACAGTTTTTGAGAACATCACGCTGCCAAAGACCCTGTTACAGCTTGAAGGGGTATTGGGAAAGCTGGGGTTTTTTGTTGAAAATATACCACAGCTGTCAGAGAAAATGCAGTCCCTCCAAGCCTTAAAGCGAGGGCTCAGGAGCAGACTGGGGGGACGATTAATAACTAATGACCGTGCGCTTACATCAGAGGAGATTCAGAGAGTGAGAGAGGTCATTGAGTTTTGCAAAAACAATCATTGTGCTTTGGAGCACAGGGACACAGAGAAACCGCTCTGGATCAGAACGGATAAACGTGACGATGGGTTCACGGTGTATGCTGGAAATGATGGGTCTGAGCGCGCGGTTGCCATGTGGGATTCTACATGGAAAGGCCCAGAACGTGACAAGTTTCTCCCATGGGAGAGAGAACTTGCAGCTTGGCATAAATATTTGTTTCCCATCCTGTGGTTAGCTGATGGTCAACCTGTGTTACTGTACACGAGGGAACCAGAGCTTTGGAACTTCACATCCACTCACATGATTCCTGGCAAAGCCCTCACGTCCAGGAATGAGAAATGGGATGCGATGTTGCTTGACCCCACCATTTCACTGATCCCGGAGGGATCTGATGTGAAACCTAAGAAAAGAAAGGAGAGTGACCCTCCTAGGGACCCAGAGAAGGGCGTCACCTACTACACGGATGGGTCTAAAACCCAGGATGATGTTATGGCATTCTGGGCATGGATTAAATATGTAAATAACAAGAAGACCTCTCAGAGAAAGGGGAGGATTGCAGGTTCTGCTCAGAAAGCAGAGCTCACAGCTATTTTGGAAGCTATGGTACACCATGTGCGGACGCATGGGAAATCTCCTGCGCTGATCATCACTGACAGCGAATGGGTGTGTAAAGGGGTGAACAATGAACTCCCCACGTGGGAGAAGCATGGGATGACTAAGGGTCAGGCTGGAGGTCCTGTGAAATTCACAGACGAGTGGGCTTTGATCGCTAACTGTCTAAGAAAAGGTAACTTCCAGGTTCGACACCAGCCGGCTCACACACTGAGTGACACCTCTGCTGCCAGAGGAAATGCTGCGGTGGACAGGCTGGTGCAGGCAAGAATGGTGAGACTGGTTTTGCATGACAGTACAGAGTCTGACCACGACCTGGTGAAGAAGCTGCATGAAACTTTGGGGCACCCTGGTTTTCAAAGGCTGAAGAAGTGGTGCTTGCAGAATGCAGTTTGCATCCCCCATTTGGACTCTGTGCTGAGAGATGTTAAATCACACTGCGCTCTATGCTTAGAGCTGGGCAAACAACCCACAGAGAAAGTGGTTGGTGACCGTATTGGTCCAGAAGGCTTGACCTCTGTCTCTTGTGACATTGGAGAGCTGAAGAGAACACAAAAGGGCAACAAGTATTTCCTGGTGGTCAAAGGGAACAGGGGGGAGAATATAGGGGGTATGTTCCCTTTGCCCAATATGACAGCAGGAAGGATTGCAGATTGCCTAGCGAGAATAATGGTGTGTTATCCACAAATAAAAGCTATCAGGATGGATAATGCACCACATTTCAAAAATAAAGTTGTTCTGGAGCTACTGGAGAATGAAGGACTAATAATCCAGTGGTCCATCCCTTACAAGCCACACACAAACGGAGTGGCTGAGAGAGCAGTTCGCACCGTTAAAGAGGCGATAAAAACCTTGAACTTGAAGGAATGGGATTCTCCAGGTGCAGTTCTGGCTGTTAATAGGGCTCTATTAGAACAGCCTTTAAGACAAGAATCTGCTAAAGACACACCCTCTGTCTCTACACAGGGAGAACAAGAGAGAAGCTTCCTGCATAAAAGACCCCAGGATGGAAAAGTTGAAAAGATTGAGGGGAACCAGGAAGGTAACACAATCAGATGTGCAACCCCTAACCAAAAAACAGTCTGGCTTGGAGACTGTAAAGAAGTGGGTCCCACTAAATGAAGGTGGAATTTCATCCCCAATATGGCTGCTGAGTGCATCAAGTTCAGGGGGGATTACATTAGGTAAAGTACGAGGGCGAAGTTGTGATGAGGAGTGCTTCAGCTGGTCAGTTTACAGACCGGGTACATGCGCAAACTGTGGCAATGAGGTTGCTGAGATAAGGTGGGAAGGCCCGAGATTTCTTAAAGACAAAGTTCTGAGAAAAAATCCTTCACCCACAAACGTTGTGGAATTACATGGTGTGATGAAAGTGGCGTGGTGTGGAGATTGTTGGATGAGTAAAGCAGGCAAAACAAGAATTGGTCGTCTGGATCATCATAGTGTTGATGAATCTAGAAAATGTTGCAGAGTGGACAAAGGAAGACTCTCCAGTTGTTCCAGTTCATGTGGGGTGCGAATTTACCCTGTGGTGTTGCTGGTTCCTGAGATGAGTCACCTGTCAGGCTTGACATGCTCCCAGGCATATTGGGAGAATTGCTTTAAAGAGATAGTGTGTACTAGAAAGGGAGGGAGTTTGAGTGAAACTTTCTCACCTTGGGGAAAGGTGCTGTGGGAAGCTACTGAACCACAGCTGTGTTGGAGAGACAGGCGAGGCAAGTTTCCTGTAACCACTGACGAGTGGGAAAGGAGACAGGTTCGTCATGAGACAACAGATAAGGATTGGTACACCTCAGCTACTGTACCAACATGTAATGACTTGTCAATAACCAGAAGTCAGACGCAAGTATTAGTTAAAACAAAAAAAGGCTGGAAGAAGCTGGATGTCTGGAGAGACTCACTCAAGAAGAGTGATGGTGTTTTAATAGCAGTAAACTTGGAGTGGGATCGGCACGCGGAGACCCCCAGGCTATTTACAAGGGACACCGTGGCTGCGCCAAGGCCACAGGTGGATTAAGAAAAATGTGTATGATGAAGCTCTCTGCCTAATTCTCCTCGTCTCTACAGGCAGCAGAGATTCATGGATTCCTGCGGAGAGTGGGAGGAGGAGGAGCTAGATCGGCTCCTCACACGACCTCCTGATAAGACTTGCTGGGAGAGTTGGAGAGGAGGTATCTTATGTTGTATCGGCTTATTAATCTGTGTGGTGGCGATATCTTTTATCTCAATGCCTGTTTCACGAGTTGTAACACTCAAGACCACGGCTGTGGTTAAAGGGTGGGTTCACAAGCGACCAGGAACCCTAGACCTGCCTAGAGTGTCGTGCTTGACTCCTCATGAGGAGAACTTTAATGCCACTCAGTGGATGGAATATTGTAAGGCTGTTACACAGGGCTGTCCAATCCCTGATCCAGGCGAGGCCTGTAGCCCCACATCTACCGGCTGGCTGATGTGGTTAGAACAGCTCAATAATGTCACCGACAGCCATAACTCTACTTATGGGCTGTTAGGATGGGAGGAAGGAAAGCTTAAAGTGTGGGATTTCACAGTTGATGTACAACCTGTGGAATGTATTACTAAAATCTACCATTTTGGGGTACTAACTGTCTGGGGAGAATATATAACTGGTTTTGATAAGGTTTCTGATTGCATGATATTCAGACTCCTTGCGTTCCCGAATGGAACTGCAGCTGGGAATGATAGCTGGGCAATGGAGGGGGGTTCCCTACCCCCCATGTCGCAGCTGATTGCTCCACAAGACGCAGACACGGCTGTGACCCCTCACTTGAGGAGGCAGACGCGTGCTGCTAAAGAGCAGACGAAAGGCCACAGGCTTCCTAGTCCACAGAGTATTTGGTTGGACAGAACCAAAGCTTTTTCAGCTTACAAAATGATCCCTTTAGGAAAGGGAAAACAACTGTTACCCATGACATTGCATGTAACCCCAAAGGGAGTTAAATTAAACTTCATTCATGCTCCGCATGTGCTGAACAGGAGCTTGATAGATGGAATGACAGAATATTTTATGATCATCCCACGTCTGGCCTGGGACAAAGGAGAGGCGGATAGCGTGTGGAGATGTATTAAGAAATTAACTAGTGACCCAAAATACCCCAGAACATGGTGGAATAATTATATATGGAAGTTAATGTCCTTAGGTGGACATGTACGAGGTCCTTTTCCTGGTATGATTCCGAAAACGAGTCATGATGCATGGCTTGTGAATAGCACATCGAAGAGATGGGCTCTGAATGTGTCATATGAAATGTGGACGGAGGATGTTCATGGCTTAATGGGACATTTTGCCCCGAACGGGTTCGATAAGCCAGGGCGAGTGACAGAGTACGATGTCCTTTTTGGACAATGGTGGGCTACCAATCTGACAGAAGGGGTGTTAGAATGCAGGCCTAAAGAGAGACTCGGCTCTACAATCTTTTGGATGGCTAATTTACTGGCGTTGTTGAACCCAGCTACAGTCCCAACGATTAAAGATGTAAATGTGAAAAAAGGTGTAAATATGACTCCTCCGTTCGTGAGGATGGAGAAACATGGCAGTTTAATAGAACTGACTATGGTCCGATCTCAAGGTCCGCATCTAGATGATTTGTACTCCACCCCAGCTTATTCAAAGTTTCGGTTTATGAATATGACATGGGGGCATTATACTGGAGAGCTGCGAGACTTGGAGTATGATTATGCGTATCGTGAACAAGCTTTACGATTCAGGGAAGCACATTGGGTGCGAAATTCTCTGTTAACCAGGTGGTGTAGGTCTGATGCGTGTTTCAGAACTTTGGCCCAGCCCGCTACGAAAATTGCTGTCAGAAATGGGAAAAATGTGTATAATCCTTATGAACTGGGCGGCTTTGTTGACCCTCACGGTTACCCCCACTGGTGGCACTCAAATTGGAGCAGCTACGTCGTCTGGGACTCAGAGAATTTCCCATCATTAGGAGTAGGATGGGGTTACTTTGCCAACTCGAAAGGCCCCAAGGCTTGTTTTTGTCAGGAGGACATAGATGCTGTTGAATACAGGAGCGACTTGGGTATATGGCCCTTTCAAGCATGGATTCCTGTTGGTGGGGGTCGTTGGGAGCAGAACTGTTCTGGTTCCTTTCATTTTCCCAATCGGACAGGCACATGTTGGTTGAGTGAAAGAGCTAGGATGTCTGATTGGGAATTTGTCCAGAAGGGTTTTAAAATTATTGGCCAAGGATTAACCTTAGGTATCAGAGAGGCCGTTAAGGTGGTCGCCCAGGGAGCAATGGGTGTTGCCTCTCTGATAATCTCTGAATTATGGGTTTACGCCAAGGTCCCTGTGATCATAGGAGGGGTCCTGGTGATGTTATCTGTTTGTGTTAAACTCATGCATCTTTTGAAGTGTTTTGCCAGCTGCAACAGGAGATCTGCTAATCAGCCCCGATGGCAGGAGGAAGGGCCTCCTGAGTCAATTAGATTGGGACCACGTGGACGCCGGGCACTCAGGAACAGAGCTGCACGCAGGTAGCATCTCCCTTGAAGAGAAAGTTCTCAAGGAATCATGGCCCGTGCAGAATCTCCACGTGAGGTATTTGGAGAAGCAGATGAGGATGTGCTGATTACCTCGGTAAGACTGTCTCTATTGGGTTAATCTTACCGGCGAGATATGCTAATATTAGATGCACAAGAGGCCTAGCTGAGGACTCTTGGAATGTTGATGTGATAACTTCTGCTTAATGCATGATGAGAGAATGATTGGTACATCCTGTTATCTGATCAGGATGGAAAAGCCCACTTATTCATTGTGGTTACTAATTTGCATGCTGTAACTTGTGTAATTCCTGCGGGAAGCAGTGAAGACCTGTGACCTGCATTAGAGGTCTCTAGGATTTTTACATACCTATTAGTGGCATGTTTGATATCATTATATGGATGTGTTGTACTAACAGAATTAATGATGAAGAAGTGTCTGGCTGCATTTTGTGAGAAAGACCTGACCTCAAGTTCACAGAGGATGGTAGGGTGCTGCTGACCCCTAGTGGGGTCATAAAGGTCATGTGTGATTGGTACCAGAACCAAGGTCTGTTTAGTGTCTCTGTGTGTGTTTTTAGGTTGATGAATCAGAAGATCTATTGCCTGGCCCAGACTCTCAGGAGATGCTGGTGCTGCCACCCAGTGGACAGAAGCCGCTGGTGAACAAGCGACGTCAGCCTGGGGTGATACCACCCAAGAGAGTTTCACTTTACGGGCTGGTGGATGGTAAACCTGTAAGGATAAACCCGAATGGACCGTGGAACGCACATGTTTGGGAACGTATTGTGTTGGTCTCTGATGGTACCAGTCATAAAGGGACTCGAGTGGCGAGGAGGGAGAAGATTCTTCAGAGAATTACACGCTCGACTCTAGTTAAGCATTTTGATTGTGTCAGGCGCGATGTGTCACGGGGCCAGACGCGCTTGCCCTGTGCACTCTCTCACTTCAGAGAGGGCGACGTCGACTGGTGCTGGATCAGTACACCCCACAACGACTACGTGCAGGAGGGCGAAGAGCCAAGGCGTGTGGTCAGGATGCAACCATCACCTGCTAAAGTGGACGTTCCGATGCAGGAAGTGAGCCCTCCGGAGTTCGATCTGCGTCGGCAGCTTCAGGCCGCTCCGTCTGTCCAGGCCATAGTACCACCAGTGATGAATGCAATAAATCCACATGTTTACTTGTATCCAGGAAATTTGAATATGCAGTATTTCCCGCAGTTTATGCCATTTAACGAAGCTTGGTTTCAAGGGGGGTGTTGAATAAAGATTTTCGATTCCTCCAGACCTGTCTTATTATATAATAGCAGTTCTGGATTACATCTCAAATCTGTATGTTAGTGAAACCAGGCTTCAGGGTTCAGCTAGAGGTCTGTGTGTGGTGATTTGACTCCTGATCTCATGCTGCCATAAATGATGTGTGTGTTTCAACTAATCTGCTATCCATGACAAATTTATGTTGTAGTTTAACCTTGTATCGACTTTTTATGGTGTAGCCTAGGATGTGATAAGAACTTCAGGGACACGTATAGAGATGTTTATGTTTGACTTCCTTTGATCTGAGCTGAAGAAGGAAGAAGGAGGAGGGAAGACCCCCGCCCATCTGACTGATACCGGAGGGGGCTGGGAGAGGACCCAAGGCCGGAGAATGTTTCCGAGGCAGGGGTTGCCATGGAGACGGAAGGGGGGCTAGGAGGAGAGAGTTGAGGAGAATAAAAGGGTGAGGGCTCCGTGGAGAGGGGGTCGGTCTGGGGCTTTTTGGGTGTTGGAGAAGAGTTCGGAGGACAACTGTAACGGTTGAGTGATCTGACCCGCTGCGTCGGGAAATCTGGAATATTTTTACTTCATCATATAAAATAAAATATTTGCTCCTTCATATAAGGGGCTTTAAACGGAATCTCCAGCCTGGGGTCTCCAATCGTGTCGTGTAACAGCTGAAAGGTGAGGCGCTGGTTACTTATCCCACTCCAAGAGGTTTACATTTAAACTTAAAGTCTTTAACCTGGGCATAGCATAAGCTGCAGGTGACTGAGTTGTGGTGAAGTTATAACAAGAGTCTTCCTTTGTGCTGCTAAAGTATGTTTGCCAGAGTCTAAATCTAGGTAAAGATGATCGCTGATTAGCTCACAGAGGTGTAAGCTCAGACTGGAGTCACGCTCACGCACAAATAGAATTACAAGTCAACCCTGAGACGTAGTGTTTATTAAAGAGTCAGCTAGTTTGGGAGGATGACTTGTAACACAAACCATAAGTGCTAATGACTCAATTTCTTTTTGTGGTTGTAGGGGCTGTTGATTGGAGTACACTAAAACAAACCTGATCTCTCTAGGATATTCAGAAGCGGAGTTATAAGCCCACAAATGTGTAACTGGACTACTTCTTTAAATTGACACCAGATCCGTTGACCTTTAGGACATGGTTTGACCCCCTTAGGAAAGTGCGATCATCATGAAACCTTCAGATCACTTACAACTCAATAGATTCTACCTTCTTGTAACGTTTCAGCCTGATTGGACCTTGTTTTCACACTAATGGACCCAGAATGATGTGAAATTGTGCTTCGTGCAACATAATTCTGGGTGCCATTTACAAACCATAAGTGCTAATGACTCCATTCCTTTTTGTGGTTGTAGGGACTGTTGATTGGAGTACACTAAAACAAACCTGACCTCTCTGGGACATTCAGAAGCCAAGTTATAAGCCCACAAAGGTGTAACTGGACTACTTCTTTAAAGTGACACCAGGCCCGGTGACCTTTGGGACCTGGTTTGACCCCCTATAGGAATGTGCGATCATCATGAAACGTTCAGATACCTTACAACTCAATAGATTCTACCTTCTTGTAATGTTTCAGCCTGATTGGACCTTGTTTTCACACAAATGGACCCAGAATGATGTGAAATTGTGCTTCGTGCAACATAATTCTGGGTGCCATTTACAAACCATAAGTGCTAATGACTCCATTCCTTTTTGTGGTTGTAGGGGCTGTTGATTGGAGTACACTAAAACAAACCTGATCTCTCTAGGAAATTCAGAAGCCAAGTTATAAGCCCACAAATGTGTAACTGGACTACTTCTTTAAATTGACACCAGATCCGGTGACCTTTGGGACATGGTTTGACCCCTTAGGAAAGTGTTATCATCATGAAACGTTCAGATCACTTACAACTCAACAGATTATACCTTCCTGTAACGTTTCAGCCTGATTGGACCTTGTTTTCACACAAATGGACCCAGAATGATGTGAAATTGTGCTTCGTGCAACATAATTCTGGGTGCCATTTACAAACCATAAGTGCTAATGACTCCATTCCTTTTTGTGGTTGTAGGGGCTGTTGATTGGAGTACACTAAAACAAACCTGATCTCTCTAGGATATTCAGAAACGGAGTTATAAGCCCACAAATGTGTAACTGGACTACTTCTTTAAATTGACACCAGATCCGGTGACCTTTAGGACATGGTTTGACCCCCTTAGGAAAGTGCGATCATCATGAAACGTTCAGATCACTTACAACTCAATAGATTCTACCTTCTTGTAACGTTTCAGCCTGATTGGACCTTGTTTTCACACAAATGGACCCAGAATGATGTGAAATTGTGCTTCGTGCAACATAATTCTGGGTGCCATTTACAAACCATAAGTGCTAATGACTCCATTCCTTTTTGTGGTTGTAGGGGCTGTTGATTGGAGTACATTAAAACAAACCTGATCTCTCTAGGACATTCAGAAGCCAAGTTATAAGCCCACACAGGTGTAACTGGACTACTTCTTTAAATTGACACCAGGCACGGTGACCTTTGAGACATGGTTTGACCCCCTATAGGAATGTGCGATCATCTTGAAACGTTCCGATCACTTACAACTCAATAGATTCTACCTTCTTGTAACGTTTCAGCCTGATTGGACCTTGTTTTCACACTAATGGACCCAGAATGATGTGAAATTGTGCTTCGTGCAACATAATTCTGGGTGCCATTTACAAACCATAAGTGCTAATGACTCCATTCCTTTTTGTGGTTGTAGGGACTGTTGATTGGAGTACACTAAAACAAACCTGACCGCTCTGGGACATTCAGAAGCCAAGTTATAAGCCCACAAAGGTGTAACTGGACTACTTCTTTAAAGTGACACCAGGCCCGGTGACCTTTGGGACCTGGTTTGACCCCCTATAGGAATGTGCGATCATCATGATACGTTCAGATCACTTACAACTCAATAGATTCTACCTTCTTGTAATGTTTCAGCCTGATTGGACCTTGTTTTCACACAAATGGACCCAGAATGATGTGAAATTGTGCTTCGTGCAACATAATTCTGGGTGCCATTTACAAACCATAAGTGCTAATGACTCCATTCCTTTTTGTGGTTGTAGGGGCTGTTGATTGGAGTACATTAAAACAAACCTGATCTCTCTAGGACATTCAGAAGCCAAGTTATAAGCCCACACAGGTGTAACTGGACTACTTCTTTAAATTGACACCAGGCACGGTGACCTTTGAGACATGGTTTGACCCCCTATAGGAATGTGCGATCATCATGAAATGTTCAGATCACTTACAACTCAATAGATTCTACCTTCTTGTAACGTTTCAGCCTGATTGGACCTTGTTTTCACACAAATGGACCCATAATGATGTGAAATTGTGCTTCGTGCAACATAATTCTGGGTGCCATTTAAAAACCATAAGTGCTAATGACTCCATTCCTTTTTGTGGTTGTAGGGGCTGTTGATTGGAGTACACTAAAACAAACCTGACCTCTCTAGGACATTCAGAAGCCAAGTTATAAGCCCACAAAGGTGTAACTGGACTAATTCTTTAAAGTGACACAAGGCCCGGTGACCTTTGGGACATGGTTTTACCCCCTATAGGAATGTGCGATCATCTTGAAACGTTCCGATCACTTACAACTCAATAGATTCTACCTTCTTGTAACGTTTCAGCCTGATTGGACCTTGTTTTCACACAAATGGACCCATAATGATGTGAAATTGTATTTTGTGCAACATAATTCTGGGTGCCATTTAAAAACCATAAGTGCTAATGACACCAGTCCTTTTGGGGGTAATGGGGGCTGTTAATTGGAGTACTCTAAAACAAACCTGACCTCTCTAGGATATTCAGAAGCCAAGTTATAAGCCCACAAAGGTGTAACTGGACTACTTCTTTAAAGTGACACCAGGCCCGGTGACCTTTGGGACCTGGTTTGACCCCCTATAGGAATGTGCGATCATCATGAAACGTTCAGATACCTTACAACTCAATAGATTCTACCTTCTTGTAATGTTTCAGCCTGATTGGACCTTGTTTTCACACAAATGGACCCAGAATGATGTGAAATTGTGCTTCGTGCAACATAATTCTGGGTGCCATTTACAAACCATAAGTGCTAATGACTCCATTCCTTTTTGTGGTTGTAGGGGCTGTTGATTGGAGTACACTAAAACAAACCTGATCTCTCTAGGATATTCAGAAGCGGAGTTATAAGCCCACAAATGTGTAACTGGACTACTTCTTTAAATTGACACCAGATCCGGTGACCTTTAGGACATGGTTTGACCCCCTTAGGAAAGTGCGATCATCATGAAACGTTCAGATCACTTACAACTCAATAGATTCTACCTTCTTGTAACGTTTCAGCCTGATTGGACCTTGTTTTCACACAAATGGACCCAGAATGATGTGAAATTGTGCTTCGTGCAACATAATTCTGGGTGCCATTTACAAACCATAAGTGCTAATGACTCCATTCCTTTTTGTGGTTGTAGGGGCTGTTGATTGGAGTACATTAAAACAAACCTGATCTCTCTAGGACATTCAGAAGCCAAGTTATAAGCCCACAAAGGTGTAACTGGACTACTTCTTTAAATTGACACCAGGCACGGTGACCTTTGAGACATGGTTTGACCCCCTATAGGAATGTGCGATCATCTTGAAATGTTCCGATCACTTACAACTCAATAGATTCTACCTTCTTGTAACTTTTCAGCCTGATTGGACCTTGTTTTCACACTAATGGACCCAGAATGATGTGAAATTGTGCTTCGTGCAACATAATTCTGGGTGCCATTTACAAACCATAAGTGCTAATGACTCCATTCCTTTTTGTGGTTGTAGGGACTGTTGATTGGAGTACACTAAAACAAACCTGACCGCTCTGGGACATTCAGAAGCCAAGTTATAAGCCCACAAAGGTGTAACTGGACTACTTCTTTAAAGTGACACCAGGCCCGGTGACCTTTGGGACCTGGTTTGACCCCCTATAGGAATGTGCGATCATCATGATACGTTCAGATCACTTACAACTCAATAGATTCTACCTTCTTGTAATGTTTCAGCCTGATTGGACCTTGTTTTCACACAAATGGACCCAGAATGATGTGAAATTGTGCTTCGTGCAACATAATTCTGGGTGCCATTTACAAACCATAAGTGCTAATGACTCCATTCCTTTTTTTGGTTGTAGGGGCTGTTGATTGGAGTACACTAAAACAAACCTGATCTCTCTAGGAAATTCAGAAGCCAAGTTATAAGCCCACAAATGTGTAACTGGACAACTTCTTTAAATTGACACCAGATCCGGTGACCTTTGGGGCATGGTTTGACCCCTTAGGAAAGTGCGATCATCATGAAACGTTCAGATCACTTACAACTCAATAGATTCTACCTTCTTGTAACGTTTCAGCCTGATTGGACCTTGTTTTCACACAAATGGACCCAGAATGATGTGAAATTGTGCTTCGTGCAACATAATTCTGGGTGCCATTTACAAACCATAAGTGCTAATGACTCCATTCCTTTTTGTGGTTGTAGGGGCTGTTGATTGGAGTACATTAAAACAAACCTGATCTCTCTAGGACATTCAGAAGCCAAGTTATAAGCCCACACAGGTGTA